ACCGAATTTTGATTGAAGCTATTTACGACATTATTTTAAATAATTTTTTTGTTTCTTTCTTTCAGTCGGCATTGCTTCTATTCTTAACTAAATGAAATAAGAAGAAAAGGGGCTAAAAAGCATCATATTAATTTGTGTGCCATCCAACTGGAATATATCACTGTTCGTGGTAAGTAAAATCAGTATTTTAAATGCATTATTAGATAATTAATTTCATTGTAGTATAGGAATTTAGGATTATTTATTTGTATTAGGAATTTAGTTTAGGAAGTATAGGAATTTTGAATGTCATGTTTTTACTAAGCTTGAAGAGCTACTTATGGTTCGAAAGAAAAAAAATCAGTTCCGAAAACGAAAATAAAATATGTATTAAAGCTGCTCGCGAGTTTTATGAAGGTTCTCCCCCGTATTATCAATATATGGATTTGACAACTTAAATATCTTATTTTGTACGCATTCTTAAAACAATCATTATATCGGGCTTAAATAAGTTGTCAAGTCGTTATTGGAAAACACTTTATAACCGGCGAAGCGCGTGATGCGTTCAAGTTCTCTACCGCATTTAAAATACAAAAACTCAAATGAAACAAATTCATTTGTTTAATCAAGAAGAAATTTTCATTTTTAAAAACGACGACTTACTTATGTCGAGACCCTTATGTCGACTTTTTGTACTGGGCATTAAAATGACCAACATTTTTGAAGGCATTAAGTTTTCTAAATGACATTATTTGAACTCTTTTTTTTTGTAATTTTTGTCATTTCAAAGCCTAGTGATAATTCAACATTAGTGTATAAAGATTAAGAGATAACACGCGGAAATGATTATCTGAAAATTAATATACAACAAGAATCTTTTCTTATAAAATTTCTTTTTAATCTTTATTTTTAAAATAAATCGTTTCATTTGGATTAATAATTTTGACAAGTTTTCGTTTAAATTTGCAAATTATTTGCAGCAGTCTAAATCAACACAATTTGTACGCCTTGTAAGCGGATAGAACAAATCAATTTTGTTAAATCACTATTTCAGTTGATAACCTTTTTAATTTCTATTTCGTTTTTTTTTTGCTGTCGATTTTGTTTCTCTCTTTTGTAATTACGCTAACTACATAATATGTATGTTTGCAACATGTTTTAAGTTTTATTGTGATTGTTATTGTGTTTTTTTTTTGCTTTTTACACGTACACACTTGCCTGAGTATTAAGATTTAATTTTAACACTTGCCTTCACCGCAGCACAAGTTCAGGTCACACAACACAATAACCGGTAGTTCGTTTTGTAGAAATTTATAGTTTGTTTGTTGCTGCTTTAGCAAATGTCTGCGATACAGTAGCCAATTTACTAATGTCGAATCTGCGCTGAGATGATGCGCCTTTTATAGCTCAATACATTTTAGCTTGTCTTTTTAAAAAAGTTCTTGGTGAATTCCAAAGATGATTGAATTGATTGAGAAAACAAAGAGTAAAAGATAATATACATAATTACATATGTAAGGAAATAAAAGTAGAATAAACAAAGTTTAGTTGTTCAAATTTGGAATCCAACACTGTTCACAGCTGGCTGCAGCATGGTCATCGGAATATGATCCAACGTTTTGCTCAGCAATCCACATTTAGTGGAGCGACTGTAGTGCTTTTCAGACTGAGACGTCAGAAATTGGCATGGCGGTGAAGCTAGTAAGCATTATGAACCTTCCAAACTTGCATTCTTTTTAGGTAATCAAGCTAACTAAAGATTAACTTAGCTTAGCTAAACTTAAAGATTAACTAACTCGATATTATTGAGGACGAAAATCCTTAAAAAACCATTAGCAGCATACCGTGTCCTATACAGGGGCTTATGAGGCTTTTCAAACCGAATTAGAGACTTCCCACGGGAGTACTGATATGGCACTGTTCCATTGGCCACCTGATCGCAAGGTTCAGAGTCCCTCATATCGATTTCTGTAGAAGATGTAAGGATAAGGAGAAGGAGTAGACAGTATGCGTTAAGCACTTCGTGTCAAGTTTGGTTTGGAGACATACCAATTTGGCCTACTTCAGTGTAATTTTTCGAACGAAAACCAAACTTGACAAGAGATGACGGAAATTCGTTTCAAAATAAGTTATCTTAGCACCAATATTGACCTCGAGGTCAATGAGATGACTCCTGACATGATTGGCAGGTGTTTCGTCTTCAACTGCTTGCTAAAAATGATTTATCGCTCCTTGACTGGAAGCATTTGAACCTCACTATCTAAGTGGTGCTCAGGCGACAGACATCAGGAGGTATCCCCAGCCAGTTCTAAGTGCGGCCTTCTGATAGGTCTGAAGCATCACCCTACTGTACTAGGACGATTGATGATTGCGGTTGTGTACGAAGAGAAGGAGTGTAAGCTGTTTTTATTTAAGATCGAAATAGGTCACTGAACTTGCTTATAATATGCGAATACAAATATTTAAGAAATAAAATTTCCCAATAATAGTATATGAATAAAAATTTAAAACCTTTAAATAAATTGATTTTTATTAGAATTGCCCTTCGTATTTGCATACTTTAATGCATAGGCATATGTGTATATGCGATTAGAACTTCTATCATCCGCTATATACGTCGGCAGACAGGTTTGTTAAAAGGCTAATAACTCGAATTATAACTTAGATTGGCTGGAAGTGAAAAAAAAAACAGGTAGCGAAAAGTAATTAAGAATCTTTTGTGCCAATGATTTTGTGCAAATATATTGCAGCGAAATGCACTGTTTATACATATGCATGTATAATATACACGTTTGAAGGTATGTAGTAGAGTTGCATGGGGATATAGAAAAGAAAGCTAGCTTTCAAAGAACTAACGCTGCTTTCTGCCGTCATATTAATATATATTTTTATACTGATTATTCTACTAATTACATTTGCAAACGAAGAGCAGAAAACGAGTTATTTCGGTTAATAAATTTATTTATGCTAATTAGTTCTGAGAATTTGTAAAAATAGAAAACAAACAAAAAATACTTGATTACTTAATTGCGGTGCAATAGATTAGAACAGTGACGAAACAAAAGAATACAAGCTTACATACATATACTTATGTACATACATACATACGCAGACAGACGCAGAAAATGCTGTAACACTTGAAAACATTCCTATTTTTTTTCTTCTGCTTTTCTTGTAGGAGAGCTTTATTTTTCGAAAACTGGAAACGGGGTGAATACCTTCTCTTCTCCAACGTTTTAGCTGTCTTATAGGCATCTAAATATATCTTCGGGGAAAAGATTGGCCCACATTTCATGTATGTATGTATGTAGATCTGTCCATGGTAAATAAAGCCTAGAAAAGGGTAAAATACTCAATAAAAAAAAACGTTTTTATATACCATGTTTTTGTAAATGGACTTGTAGAAAAATTTGCATACACTCATAGAATTACTTAGTACTTATAAATTTTCATTTGAAAATTTTTCATAGTAGTCAATTTATGAGATTTAAAATGAAAAACCTGGGGGCAGGTAATACAATAGACGGCCACCCTAATCAAAAATATTTCCAAACTAAATTACTTTCAATTAACTGATAAACTAAGTTGAATTTGATTTATCTATCAGGTGGACACCCTCTTAAGTATAGTTTAGAAGCAAAGCCTTTTCAGCCCCGTTTCGATTGATACCCATCTTTCAATAATTCATTAAACTTATTAAAGAATTTGAGTTTTATTTTTTAGAAAGGTGGCAACCCAGTTCAAACACCTCAAAAACATTCTAAATGTTGTAACTAAAGGCTTCTTAATACTTATGTTTGGCAACCATATTTTAATACTTCATAAAACTAGTGCATAATTGATTTAATTAGACTTTTCACAGGTGGCAACGCTCTTCAAAATATTTTTAAATTAAAACCTGGCACCCGTATTGTGATATGTAATTACCTCATTCGCTTAACTGAAGTTGAGTACCTTCGAAATAAAACCTCAAAACCATTTACATTAACAGTTTAACTTATGTTAAGAATATAATTGACTCCAACTGGATGCCGTAAAGGCCCGCAGTTCGCACATTCATCCGCCACTTTGTTGCCTTGCGTTTCCAAGGTATTTCGTGTTTGGCTTTTGTTTAAGAGTGGTCTCCTCCAATTTTTATTTGTCCCAAGCTGGGATCTTTTATTTCCTAGTGAATAATGCTACTTATGTCAGTCTTCTCTGCGTTAATGCTCAGTCCCACTTTTGTGACCCAATCACTGAAAGCCAGTGAGCTAAGAGCCATTCGACATTTGCCGCTTATGATGACTGCATAAACTGTTAGTATGGCTGCTCCTCCTATATTTTCGTCAGTAATTTATTAACCACCACATAGAAGTGGTCATAACACCCCTTCCTGTGGTCTACATCTATGCACGTCTCGCGTAACCTCATGTAAGCTCCTTTGCGCCGAGATCTTCCTACAGCCTAACATGGGCGACCTTGTTTCCAGATATTCTCTCTTTTCCAAGGCTCCTATCCGTCGAAGTAAGAATAGTTGCAAGCCCTTTTGCTAGCCGCGGCAGGTTAATGAAGTACGTGTGAAGTATGTGAGTTTGAAGCTCATTATAGGCATAGACTTCACTACCTTAGATCACCAGATAACCAGAAGCCATATTACCCAAATAGCATTTAGTCAAAGGACCTCGCGAAGTTTCTCAGCAAAACGTGGATCAAAGAAGAACTGTAACTAAATAGAAAAGAACAAAAAACAATAGGCGCTTCACACATTTACTTAGTGCTTGGCCAAGCTTTTCTTTCGATGTATGGTGTGTAATACCAAATAGAGTTCTCTTATAATAGATTGTCCTTGTTACCTAGGTGATCTGCTTTTCCTCTAAATATTACACTAATATATTCGAATATCTAACGGATCTATTTTGAGGATATGAAACCCGCTGTCACGTGGTCACGTTTTTACGCCTGCGAGTTGAGCTTAATGAAGACATATTATTTTTAAGTAGAGTATATTAGTTTTAGGTAGGATCAATTAAAAAGTCATTAAGTTTTATAGTTTTCTGTATATTTTTATTAATGCATTTGGTGTGATTGTGCATTTTCCAAATAGTACACATACAAACATTACATTATTAACTTAATTTTAGCTGATAGCAATCGATTGTGGTACATACATACTTTCTATAGTGCAACTATTTAAATTGTATAGTACATATTACATACAAGATATTTCGTAAATACTCAAACTAAATTGTTGTTTTTTTTAGTATTTATTAATGAAAAAATACGATATGTGTATGTATATGTGTAATGTATTATAATTTAAAATAAATTTATTGCAAATAGATTTTCTGAAAGTTCAGTACCGTACTAGGTAATTGTCTTCGCAAGCGCATACTAAATTATAATTAAATTTTTCAATTAATAGTACTACAAACGCCACGAAAGTACTCGCACATCTCGGCAAATATACTACGCGAGTGAAAGAGTGCGCGAAACTATCTCAACGAATTTGTTACTCGCGTACTACTACTCTGAGGCAGTCAGCTGCTATACAGGCGATTCTGCCAGCCTGCCGAGGCGTACAATGTTTAAATACTTTACAGGCTGATTATAAAAAATATTTTCATGAAACATAAAAATACTACATACATTTTTTATTTATTGCGCACACAAAATTTCTATGTAATTTTAGTTAGGATGGGTTTTTTTTTTTCCTTTTTAAGATTAATAGTTACTTTAAAATGTTCTTTTAAAGATTAACAGTTACTTAGATAGAGATTAAAGCTTATAATTTTTTTTTCCTTAATTTCTTTCCAATGAAATATAATATTCATTCAAGTTTTTACCGCATACATGTAGATCGTAAGATCTACATATAATTAGTTGTAGTTAAAAGTAGTATTAAAAGATTTCCGTTTTCGCTCTGCTACTGCTCACGCCTTTTCTCGCTCGCGACCTACTTTGGTCGTGCCCTTCTTTGCTTTATCGCTCGATAATTCCTCTACATCTCACTCTCTGCTTCCTCATTTCTCTCTATTTTCTTTTCTCTCTGTCCCTCCATCTTGCTCTCTCCATCCCTTTCTCACACTTTCTCCTTAATGCATATCTTTGTCGTAGAACTTGTGTGTGTCCTCATTATTGACCACCTCAGATGTTTCGCCCAGCACTCGCATGGCATTTGAGTAATCCGAATCGATTTGTGGTATGATTTGTTTATTGTTCGGACGTAGTGTGCGTATAAGATCGGTGAGCGAGAGGAACGATTGTCGATCGACATCGTTGTTGTCATGATGCAATACACCTGTTGCCGCATTATTATGACGTTGATTGTCATTATTAGCGGCAGCCATTTTTTCGATTTCTTGCGAGATTTGCTTGAGACGCACTTCAACGGTAGGCACTTCGGCGGGCGAAGCAATAGCCGGCACAGGAAGGGTCTTCAATTGATCTTCGCCTACAGTATTGCTCTTCGTGTCCACATCATCGACGCTTTCCTCATGCGACGATGCCGAAATGTTCTCATCGTTGGTGGCATCATCATCCTCCTCTTCGACAGCTTCTTGTTGGGCATCATGCTGGTGGGCAGCTTGTACGGCGTGCTCTTCTACCAATTCTTTGTTGTTGTGTGCATGCAAACTGTTATTGCTGTTGTCGTAAACGGGCAGTGTACGCTTCTTGTCATCCTCCTCTTCATCCTCAGCATCGAAACTGTCATGGTCATGTTCATGTTCGTGTTCATCGTTCTTCGGCTCCTCTTCACCGCTCTCAAGATCATGATCGAGATTCAGTGAGACAAAGGACAATTGCGGTTCATCATGATCATCCTGGTGCGAACGCTTCGAGAAAGGGGTGTATGTGGACATGGTAAGCGGCAACGGGGTGGTGGATAGGCTCAATTTAGTTGCATCGACAGTGGGACGTGAAGTGGTAGAGGTGACGGGTCGACTGTGTGCGTTTGGCAGGTGCGTAGATGGGGTGAAAAGAGAATAAGCAATAAAAATGTAATTAGCATGGAACTTCGGCAATAAAAAAGAGTTTGAAGTGAATTAAAAGTTGTTTGGAAATTTGCGAAAGTCAAAGTATTCTATGGGCGTGTGCGGGTGTGTGTGTGTGTGTGCACGTTGAAGTATGTGCGCATGCGCAGTTCGACATTAATCTACAATATCTTCTTTTACGATCCACGTACAACGCGTATCGCATGCGCACAGACACGCCTGCATACAAACACACACCCACGGCCACAAAAGTGTGCGAAAGCTGTTAAGAGGTGCAAAAAAGAGTGCGAGTTTAAACTAACAAATACATATGCAACTCTACTTGGAGTTAATTGTTACAATAGCAACAAAAGAGGCGTGTAATCCTTAATGTACGTTTTATTGATGGGCGATCGTGAGATAGGCACCAAAACATGGCAAACAATTTCTTTATTTGTTTCTTTTTTTACTTTGTTTTGATATTTTTGTCTTTTAATATTTGCTTTCCATTTTTGTGTTGTACAAGCAGCTAAGCCCCAAACCATGAAATTTTTAAAAATACGAGTACTAGTAGATGTTATCAAACCTTTACAAAAAAAAAATAAATATATATATACTTTTAACAAGTTAATACTTTCATAAAAAATATGTATGCGAGTACAAATATGATACAAGCGTATTCAAATGTATGGCGGATATTTCTGAGATGGGCATCAAGCGCATAAAAAAAAATTAAAAAAATTTTTTATTGCCAAAGATAGCAAGTTGGCGAGTATTTGAGATTTTTTGCTATTGTTATTGTTGATGTGTTGTTAGTAGCGAAATGAAACGTTATTCAGACTTTAAAATGGCAGAAGATAATTGGTTTATAACGTTATTTTTTCCAAGCGTAAGTAATATGGATTTATACAGTGACTCGGGAAATTGTTCGCGTCTTAAATTTTAACGTTTTGTTAAAAAAAAAGTATTTAAATCATTTCGTTAAATGGGAAGCCTAAACTTTATTTTAAATAAAAAAAAAAATTTATTTACTTGCCCAGAGAACTCAAAGAGCGTCAACATCGCGTTTACGCATGCAAGTACATATGAGCGTAACGATAAAAACGCGACAGCATACAAAATGAATTAGGCACACTAAATTATTCTCACTTTTAGCTAACGATTGTTTGTGGTAGTGCCCATGTTTACCAATTTCACGGAAGCAATTTAAGTGAAAAATTACAATTTTTTTTTTATTTAGCATGAAAACTGACTGAAGGGAAAATATCATTTTTCACTTAAATTGTTGGAGCAACATACAGCTAAACATTTTTCGATAAACTTTTGGAATTTTTTACTTTTTTCGAATCTGGGCACAGAGATTTTTAATAACACATCCGTTTTTTTCTACGAAAAATGTATTTTCTAAATTTCCTTAATTATGTGCTACAAATATTTCAAAATTTATACTTAAAAGAAAAGCTATTTTCTAAATTTTTAGCAATGCTCTGAAATCCCAATAAAAAAAAAAAATAAAAGTTTAGTTTTGTTCGGGAATTTTGTCATTTAAAAATCACATCACATAAAATGACACAATGTGATTTTTATATAAAAAAAATTTCTCTAACAAAGTTTGATTTAAGGTAAAAATTTAAAATTGAAGTTTTTATTCTGCGGTTTGAAAATTATTCTCAAATTTGTAAAAATTTTAGATAATCCTTACTCTTCGAATAGTCCGACATTTTTTAATACCTCCATAAATTTATATTTTTTCCCTACGCTGAACAATTTTCTGAGTCATTGTACTCGACGTAATTAAGGATTAGCGTTAATTTAATGTGTTTAAATGCTATTTTTTTAGTGTTGTTTTTTATGATTTGGGGTTTAGCTCACCTATATTTGTATGTATTTTTTTTTATTGACGCTTGTGTTGGTGAATACTCAGTTTTACAAAAAATTGGCATAGTAATTAATTCAGATTACTTGTAAGTAATTGTAATAATTTCACAAATTCAGCGCTGCTGTTACTATTTTGCTTAAGTTTTAAATATTTTATTGTGCAAATGGGTTTTGTGTTGTACGATTTTTAGCAATATTTCAAAAATTATATATTAAATTGATTTAAAAGCTTATTTATTGCTTATAAACTTCGTTTCTGCTTCATCTCCATTTTTTGTTTTGTTTCTTGCTGTGAATGTTATAATTTATGATATATATATTTTTTGTTTTAATTATTATGGTCTCTTTTCTTCACTCCCTTATTTATTTTCTTTACTTCTTAATTAATTTACTTTAGTTATTTTATTATTTTCGCTTTAAATTTTTCGATATTATAGTCAGTGAATGTGTGTGCTTTATTCTGTATTGCTTTTTGTTTTTGTTTTTGTTGGCTGATTTGTTCAGTGCGTTTTGAGTGGTGTCCTTACCCCTGCGCCGACGACACTGGAATACTGCCATAGTTGTAGTAATAGCATCGAGTCTGTTCGCAGATGAAATCTTTCACAGCCGAGCAATCTTCGGGCATCCATTTCAATGTTGGCTGTTTCAATATGACGCATCCCTTCTCAGCGCCGCTACTGCTGTAGAGGGTTGAAATGGTGAAACGAAATCGGAAAGTTAACATTGAGAAATGAAAATCTACTGATTTGCAAGTAGTTAGAAAATAATATATTAGATGTACATACAATATCCTAACAATATATTTTGTCATCTTTCCGGGACAAAAAGTTTTTTATTAAGCCTACCAAGGGATTTCAATTGATTAAATTGGTTAACGTCTGCTTTTACGCCCCTCTCTTAACTTATTTGTCGTCCTAAAGACGTTAAGATAATATACTCTCGGTTCGTCCACATAAATGAGATCCTAAAAGTGCTCGTGTGGGGTTTTCAACTCCCAGATAATTTACGGAGCAGAGGTAAAAGTCAGGCTAAAGCCTTCATCCCGGGAATATCAACAAAGAGAACTCCTTCACCTTACAGCTTCGGCGTAAGAATTTCTACAGATTTGTTTCAGCCCTGCATTACAAGTATATTTGTTTGATCTCGTCGTTCCGTTTTTATTTGATGAGATATAAGTTTGCTGCAGTTTGGAATCTGAGTTTCTGGTTTCGGTACCTTATTCCATTCTGACCCCTTAGTTCATTATAAAAACTGTAGAAGTCAGTTAAAGGTTCGCATAAGCGCGCAAGCTGCTTTCTACAACCCCTGGGTCTATTTGGCCTTTTTATTTTCAGATCATTTGATCGAATTTAAGCTTGCTGTAGTTCGGCATATGAGTTTCTGATTTCGGTACGAAATCCTTTAGTTTAGTTGATCATGAGAAGGCATGGTACAAAGGCATGGTGAACGTTCTCAACGTCGATTATATAAGAAACGTTCCTCAAGCGAAAAAAAATGTGAAAAATACTTTCGGGTACATTTATAAGATAACAAAATGTTAACAAAACTCTAAGAAACTTTCTCTCGGAAGAACAATTCGGGAACTAAAGTCTCTGGAACGTTCTGACAGATAATACAATTTTCCTCATAGCGCTGCATTAACTTTAAATATTTGAATATTAGAATTAATCTAAAAAGAACAGAAAGATAATAATGCAAATTAAGTAAACAAAAGACTTAAGGCACGAACTTTTCTTGCACAGAAAATGAAAAATTGTTTCATAAATGTACAGTTCACCCTATTGGTAAACGATCTGGAAGCTGAAATTAGCCAGCATACATCTGCCTTAGATTTAACAATCACGATTCTCACTGAAACGATTTTTCATCTCAACATGCAGACGCGCCCTCGTTTAATTTAGGACTGGCACAGAGTGAAAAATACGGGGCATGTCTACGTCTTTGTAGCGCTTAAAGGCACATTAAAACATCTGCTATGCCATTGTTCAGCTTTCGGAGAATTTGCAACTCAGCTGCTACTGCTTTATTTGCCTCGCTGAAGGAAATTTCAGACCAAAATTCCAGGAAATGGTTAAAACTTGCTAAAAAGTAAATTATAACTAAGGCTTTTTCGGTAAGCCTAAGGACCAACCAATTGTCTATGCCAGATCTCACAGACCGGCCTAAACCTGAAACCTTATCTTATCTAGTGAGCTTTTGTCTGTGGACATTAATATCAAATATCTACAAAGCCTAAAAATGCGCTGCACACAGACCTACTAGCAAATTTTGTTCTGGTTGACCCGTTTTATTTTTAGAAGATGCTTCTCGCATTGAGTTTTTAAACTCGATTCGAGTCTATCCGAACACTATTTCTTGTATAATTTCTATTCTATCATTTCTACTTTTAATGACTAATAAAGCCAAGCAATTCATCGCGTGCTTGGCATATTTAGTTTTTTTTTTTTTTATGTGCTCATCATCTCATCACTTACCTGTCGCGCGCCGTTCGCTGTGGTGACGTATTGCTATTATGATCGACTGGATCTAGCAGACCAGCTTGTATGGCATCAGCTGAATTTTCAAAGAAATCAAAAGTCGCATTGAATGGCAGGCCAGTGCTCATCCATAGGAACATGCCAGTGCCTAAACGATTGCCGGAAGTCCAGAAATCATAATTACCATAGCCGGCATTCTTTAGGTATGTAGTCATTGACTCGGCCTTCTCTTTTGTTTCAAAGGACGCCAATTGCAGGCCCAACGAACGGCAGTATTGATAGGCAAGGAAATAGTTGAGTTCAGGTGAATAGGGATTCATGCGGCTAATAAAATATTGTACGCCATCCAGGTGAATGGTGGTGATGCGTTGCCCTGCGAATATAAATTGCAGTTGATGCACATTGTACAAAGTTATAAATAGTATTGGAGGTTGGTGTGTGTGTGTGTGTGTGTTTCTTTGTGGTAGAGGATAGGTTGCATAAAGCATGCAAGTACATTTGTGTTAAATTATTTATTTTATTGTTTCTATTTTAACATCTTTTCTTTTGTTTGACTTTACATTGGTGTAAGTAAAGGCAGCGAATGTTTGCGTGGGTATAAAAGCGAAATCAAATTGTTGCGATTGTTTGTACTTCATTATTTTCTATGCATTTTTTTTATTTATTTTTGGTTTCCATTTCTTTTTTGTTTCTGGTTTGTTTGCTAAACGACTCTACACGCATTGACAATCTAACTGCCATCGGAGTATATAAATTATTCTGAACATGTGTTCCCACTTCCGATAGATGTTTCCAGCACCTCGAAGTGTGAGCATGGTTTTAATAAGCGCAAGAATATAAAATATACATATGTATATACATATATGTTTTTATATAAAATTTAAACTTTTTTTTTCAGTTAATGCCAAAGCACATACATACATACATATGTATGTATGTACATAAACGGAAAGTAAAGTTCACGTCAGAAATGCAGCTGGGTGGCAGCAAAGAAAGCTTACATACATACATACACATACATATGAACATACCTATGTATGCACATTAGGCTGCATCACTATCCATAAAAAAAGTCGTTACTATTTTTCCCCTCGGAATTAAAAAATTTATTACATATCTTTTAACTTTATCAACAGAATCAAAATACTGAGTTTTTTGGAGGTAATTTGAAATCGGTCATGTTCTTATAAATATTAATAATTTTTCGATATATTTTAGTGGAAGTCTTTAAATATGATAAATTATATAATTCTGGTGGAAAACCCGTAACTTTTTTTTGGGTAGGCACCCTAATATACATACGTAAATACATATATACTTAGGTACTACATAAAACCGGGACGGTAAGAAGAAACAAAATTTTAATTGTCGCCAATAGTTTGAAAGCTTACTTCGGATAATTGTTTTCGCGAGACATATTTCGACCTGTCTACGCCCTGAAAATAGCCAAAAATGTTTTTTTTTCATAGCTTTTCTCAGTGATAGCATTTTTAAGGAATTTAGATCTCTTTCACATCATAAAAAGTAGTAGCATACCAAAATTTAAAAAAAAAATGTTAGTTTCCATTGTATTTGTCGATAAAAAAATGAAATTTTTACTGTAATAGCTTAAACACCCAATAACGAACACTTGTCGGTCAAAAATTAGTATCCACCAAATGTTGCTGGTTTAATTCTACATAAGAGCTACTATTCCTTTTTAAAGCACTATATGTATTTGTCTTTAAGGACAATGTTTCCGAAAATGCTAATGGCCGTTCTAATATTGCTACATTTGCATACATTAGAGTGACTCTCCATATAAAGAAAAATTGGTTGACCTTCTCCAAGCGAATTAAAAATTTTCATAAATTTTATAACTCCCACCCAAATATTTTAGCTTAGGCCTAAAGCACTTTGAAAATAAATAGTTACACAAAGTCTAAATTTTTTAATATTTTTATTTAAAATATTTATGTTGCAAACTTGTTTCTCCATAAAAGCGCATGAGAAGCAACGTTCGAACTTTACTGCAATTGCAGTAGATCTACTGCTCTTTTTAGCAAAATGGAATGTTGTGCAATTTGTTTTGAGGGTTATGTTTGTATTTTTCTGTTTAATTCAAGACAAAAAAGCCTTTATTTGTCGGCGGAAAATATGTGTAGATGTTTTAAATCAGTAAAAGCTGTTTTTGTAAAATATATAAGATGTATGTATTTGTATGCAAAATATGTTTTGTTGTTAATGTAAAATGTTTGTAAATTAAAAAAAGACTTAAACTAAAAATCTCCTGCCATAAAATTCCTTTTACTGCATTTATTTTTAAATTCACTGCGGTTTATGAATTTTCAAGTCCCAACCTTGATGAAAAGATGAAAAAATGTAAGAGATTTGCAAGAAAGGGTTTTTTTCAGAAATTCATTCGTGCTAAAAATAATGAAATTTTTGATGTAACTTTTTATACAAATTCGCAATAAATGCTTTAAGAAAAAGTGAATAACTCAGGTACTAATACAGTTTTGAAATTCTTTTCATTAAGAAAAAGGTATTTGCCACTTCCACAGAAGAAGAAGAAGATTTTCCACTCGTTGCACTTTTTTGAAAAATTAACTCATTCAAACCCTGAAAGTTTCGGACATTTTTTTCACTGCAAAAGTCGAATGTAAAATGCTTAATTTTTCAATACATGAATAGTGAAAGATAAAAGATTTTATTTCTTTGCGGAAATGCTTCAGCACAGGATTGAGATAACATATTTCATGGGAAAGACAAAATTTTATGATTAACTTAGAGCATAGACAGCAGCCAATCCGATTAAAATTGCACCATGACAGATGGCAATATTGCCATTCTTCAATTTCTCATTACTTCTATTTTTTTTGGAAACTTAATTAGAGTTGTGAACCTTTTTATAAAATTAAAATATTTACATCTACAAATAATAAGGTAAAGTAGAAGTAATAATAATAAGATATTATTTTTGGAAATAGCTCACACTGGGGATCTAACTTGGCTCCGCTGAGTGTGCGGCTTTGACCACGAAAATGCCTATGATCCGCATTCATTTTAAGAATTAACTCTATGACTTAATCCGGATAAACTGCAGTTAATTGCCGAGATATTTCCGAATTAACGAGTTAATTGGGCTCAACGCTGCCGTCCCTATTGTTTTATTTTTCGTGGGGCATCCTACTGTACACAAATTCATACCTACACACATATGTATGTACATGTGTGCCGCGTGCGTTGTTTGCTTTCATTGATATTTTTACTTCTTTAAGTTTGTACATGCATATGATAATTGTTTTTCTTATAAGTATTTATGCATATTTGTTTTGCTTGATTTTTTGTTTATTCTTCTTCTTATATAAAACGATTTTTTGACGAATGTCGCAGACGAGGAAACGTCACCTCTTGTGTCGCTAAAAGTTGGATGAATGGCTGACTGATTGGCTTTCTTAAGCATTGCACTTACACACATGTAGCCATTTACATACATACATACATATGTACATATCCATTTGCAAGCATGCATAAATGCATTTCAAAAGTATACGTACATATATAAGTATGCGTGTAAAATTGTATGGTTATTTGTGTGCTTAAGTGCCTTAAGGAATGTCCATACATGTATGTTCTTACATACATACATACATAAGTGTCACGGCCCCAGTATGCCCGCTTACCCTTTGTGAAGCGCATGAAAAAGGGTCAACAGAAACAAACGAAACTAAAAATGTAAATACAAAAAATGCAATAAAAAAAGTAAAACTACTTTTCACACATATGTATGTTGTATGCACATTAGGATGCATCACTCTCTGTACAAAAAAAAAGGAAGATTTAGTATATTTTAAGACTCGCCAAAATATTTCGATGAAATATTAAGATTTACGTGAGCTGGACCGATTTGAAAATACCTCCAACAAACTACTTTTTTTTAGTAAAAAAAATAGAGTTTTTAAAAATATATTTTTTTTTTTGCAAAAAAAGAAAAGTTTAGGCGTAAAAGCTCTGCCTAAATACATATGTTGAAAAGTGGTATAGGGAATCAGAATATGTACTGAGATTTTTTGGTGGTATTTCCAAATCGATGCAGCTCACATAAATCTTAATATTTTCCCGAAATATTTAGGCGGAAGGAAGTCTTAAAATATAATAGATTTTATGAGTCCGGTGGAAAACCACAGCATATTTTGGTGCGGCACTCTAGTGCATGTGCATATGAAAGTACATATGTAGATTCATGCATGACTAATACATTATTAGCGGCTTTTTTACTTATTTTGTAATGCTGAGTTAAATTAAAGATAATATGTATTTAAAGGAGGCTAAGAGTGATTGGAATGGTTATCTTTAAAACGTTTGAAGCCGAAAAATTGAATTCCATATTATAAAAAAAATCAAACCATTTGAACCATTTTTAAAAAGAACTGATATGAATGTACGTAAATAAAAAAATGCATCCAAAGTAGATATAGTATCAAAATCTACCTCTAGGAAACTATTGCTAATGCAGCTTTAGGTCAAGTAAAGCTCTTTTTAAACATTTTCTTATTAAAGAAAATGCTTAAGACCAATTTGTCTGATTTTAAAAAGCTAATTTGTACAAATCTCACATTACTTTCATATAAAGCCGTGTTGATTTGAAAGCTTTTTTACACATATGTATGTATACGGCTAAAATAACGTAAGCGAAATTCTTTACGAAATTTTCTTTTCCATGCAGAATGCTACTAGGGCATCAAAATACATTTCTGCGTCAAAAATAAATTTTGAAAAAATTTTGCTTACGCTTTTTTTCCTGGCGTATTTTTAGATTCCCCAGCGTCTTACAAGTTTTTTGGTGCTCTGAAAAATATTCATTCTTGTCAAGTTAACATCTCCTTTATATAAAACTCGTGAAAGAAAAATAACAAAGAAATTTTACTTGAAAAACATTGTGAATATTAAAAAAAAAAAATCAACACGTGGTCACTTGTTTGAGTCACTGTACCTACCTTACCAAACTACCTTATATGAAAACTAAACTTCCGCTTACTCAACGCTTATGTTAACTGCTAATAGTATTTAACAGTTAATAATTTAATATATATTTATTATGAACTTATTAGAACTTGATTAGATCACCATGCGCGACTTTTTCACAACTCCTTTCTAAATTATGGTCTTCACTCCCATAAAGCCAACGACCCCATTTGTGTATGCTTTTTGATAACTGTTTGGTAGAGCAAGTGAGTAAAATAATAAAGAGCGCAGTTAGAATATTAATTTTTTTGAAAGCAAAAAATAAAAATAAAAAATTGCTAAGAATTTCGGGTCGCTAAAAATATATAGATATGTAGTTGAGTTATTAGCATTTATCAAGTTGAATTGGAATTTGAAATATGTATTACAATGACCAAATTTTTAACCTTAGTGTCTATTTTGCACTAAACTTAAAAACTTTTTAACAAAATTTAAAAATTTTCTTAATAGTCGAAAGAAAATTAGCCCAGATATAATAATTCAGAATGAAAAATTAAACTGAAGTGGGCACAACCGGTTCGCCTCCAAACCAAATTTGTTAAGGGATGTCGGAAAATCGTTCCCCAATAAATCATAGTAATCAAGGTGTTTTTGCAGGGCAATTTCGAACAAATTTTTTTTTACCGAACGAAAGGGTCGCCTTTTTTAATTTTTCGGTAACACCTACATACATTCGGCAATAAAAATTTATTTAAATTACTTGTAATAGAATAGTAGTAAAAAATTAATGATTTATGGAGAGCTTTGATATACCTTGGGGTGGTAGGAGCTGAGATATGGTGGGGTTAGAACGGGGTACTAGAGGTCAATAAACTTTGGTATAAAAAAATTGCCTCCTCGCGACAAAGAACATAGATATATCATACTTTAAAGCGGACCCCTTGTGTTGCTGGTTGGATAGATTCGATTTTTGTAAATGTCATCCGAGATTATAAGCTTAAATGGAAATTAGTTGCACAGTGTTTTTTTTTTGCTTATAGCGTCTTCTTTTCTTAATGAAAATGTTGCCGCAATATTTGGCAACATTATTTAAATGTTCCCCTGCGCTCTGTCAAAAGGTTGACTTTTTCGTATGAGAAAAGAACAAAACAAATGCCAACTTGAAAATTCATGAATCCACTAACTTATTCGCCATTTATTTTATTAATTTTAATAAAATCATTCCATTCAGTTCCATTATAGCATACAAATTTTTTATGAGTAATAATTATTAAAAAATATGAATCAAAATCTGTTGGGCAACACTCATCCTTACGCTTTAAGAAGGGCAAAAAATGTTGCACTTTTGTCGGGTCTGCCATGTTGAGAAAAGAAAACGCCATTAGTGTCTCTTGGAAAAAATAGTGCGAAATTTTCACATTTGTAACCAGAAGTTTCTTTTAAAGAAAAAATAAATAAATAAATAACTAAAAAATATGTACATAAATTAAAAAAGTAATTTTAAAACAACATATTTTTTTAACAATTCTGAAAAATCTTGAAAAACCTAGGCATGTTAAGCAATATTATTGAAATACTTTTACATAAATTTTTTTTTAATTTACATAACTTTCTTTCAGTTTTTCAGGTAAAATTAAAAAAAAGTTTTAATTTCGAAAATAAAAAATCAAGAAATGTACCAGGTTCAAGTTCATTATTTGACATTCGTTTTCTTCTGGACCTTCGGGTCGACATTCGATTTTCCTTGACAAAAATTAAAATAATATACTTTTTCAATTTCCACTTTTATACTACTCTTGGCCTTAAACTAATTTTATATTTTATCTACTAAAAAAAGGCAATTATAAATTCATGGATGCCGCGCAAAATATGCAATTACCGAGATTTCTAGAATGTTCAAAATGTTAAACGTACGTCCTTGTAAAATATCCCTGCAATTTTTAATAAAGGATCATTCCTTGAAAAAGAGGTTAGAGATTAATCTTTAGAAAATTATTGAATAATAAATAGTTACGAGTACAAAGAACTTAGAAGTTGTTTGATGTTTTTTGGAAGGAATTTTAAGCTTTAGTTATAATAGCTATAATTCACAGTTGATCATATTCTGGTCTGAAATGGAAAGCTCTAAACTTAAATATTCACGGAAGCTAAAAATTTTGTTTTTTTAAATTTCAAAATAAATAAATTAAAGGGAAGTTAAAACTGGCCTTCAAAATAATTATTTTTGTATGTAACGTAAAAAATCCATAAAATTATGTTTAATTTTATTTAACTTAAGAATTCTACAAATCCCTTTTATTTTTTGTTTATAACTTTTTTTGTTTTATATTTTTTATTATTTTTATATTTTTTTAATTTGTTTAAATCTTTTCCTTTAAAAATGTTTAGTTGAAAATATCTATTCGAGTGTTCGATCCCTGCTGAAGTCTAAAAAAAGGTGTCTATTTAGGCGATCTGGTGATCTCCGAAATAAAAGCTATAGCTTTTTTGGTTGTTTTTAATTTTTGCTAAAAACAAACCGAGGTATAATACTCAATAATTCTGATCGGAGTAAAAGCTCGGCCAAACACTAACATATGTGTAAGCGCCAATATATTATTATTATTAATTCTGTGTTTGTATTTTTTAAGAATTATTTTTTTATCAAAAAAGATAATAAAAATATTTTTTTTTAATTTGTAAAAAAATTTAGAGAAACAAATGAAAGAATAAAAAGAAAATGTCTAAAATAGAAAAATTACAAAAACTTAAAAACATGAAAAATATTTGAAAAAATTAGAAAAAAATATTTAAAATCTTACGAAAGTTAAAAGAAAAGAGCCTTAAAAACCCTTTAAAAAACTCCTTAAAACATTCTTTAAAAAACTCTTCAAAAATTGGTTGTAATTCCGCCCCAGTCATTTATAATTTTTCGCTATTATTCCCTCCATTTTTGTTAGAAAATATTCTAATAGCTGTCAGGCGTTTTTTTGTATCCACCTTTTTTCTCGCCAGATACATACAGGATTCCACACACATTTGAAAATTATCCACGCTTGCATGTATTACACTTTCTGTGGTGCATTTTTACACGCAGGGAGGACACAGGATATGTTGCTCTATGATTAATGATTTTCGTTGGAAGCATTTATTTTAGAAATAAAAAAATTATATTTCGCTTTTACGCCCATACGCGGCGGAAGCTTTCAACATATTTCGCACGAATATTTTTTTTTTCATATGAACACTTCCCATCCTCTTCGAATTTTCAAAAACAAAAAACAAATAATTATTTCTACATAATAAATGTTCTTATTCACTTAAACTTATGTATTGAATTTATGTATATGGTACAAACCTGAGACGCAGGCTAACACGCTCAGTAAACAGATTAAAATAATTTTCGCCATTTCTTTTTGAAGAAGACACAAACAAGTAGACTCTTTCCGCCAATTAATCGAACACTAATAACCAATTCTTCAACTTGTTGCACTATTATATATAGAACTACACCACAATATATCTATCTATGCGTGGTATATAAGTGTGCGCCTATGTGCGGCTTAGTGATGTATTTGTGTGTACTGAATTGGATCCGTGATCGGGAGAAAGACACGTTCTTTCTAGATCGCTGCAAAACACCAACTGACACAAACACTTCACTGCCAAGAACACTAAAGCCAACAACGAAGCTGAGCTGAAGTCACAAACTATTCTTTACCACGGCGGCTTTGTCTTTAACTTCTTCTTTGACTTCGATTTCGACTTCTTTGACTTGTGTATATTGTCGCTTTGTCGCTTCTCTTAGACTCGGTTATTAACTGGGTACGTGTGGGTGTGTGTATGTGAGTGTTGTTTAATCCTTTGAGCCAGCGGCGACTACTGGAAGTAAATTCACATACACACGCAAACAAACACTCACCTACCCATTGACTTGAGCTGCGTTCCACCACAAAGCCATTGAGATTTGTTGTTCTTTGAGGACAGGTAACAATTGGGATGGCTACAAATGTGATGCGATCCAATGAGCGTTGTTTGGGCCAGCCAGCGCTGCTCTATGTCTTGCGGCTGGCTCCACAGCATTCACGAGGCTCACAAACACACACACACACACACACATCTTTGCCTTTTTGTTTCGTTGCTTGTTGGCGCTCGTTTGGTGAACTGAGTGATGTGCGAAATGCTTTTTAATCAAGTTCACGGTTGCTAAGGTTAAGAATGAAGTTCGTTGGTTGACTTTAAGAAGTTCCAAATAGACAATTGGACAATCGGGCGATCGGACAGGCTGGTTGGCTTGCTTTTGCTGGCTGTTGTTTCGGCGGATATGCGGATAAATGGATATGCGAACTGTGGACAGCGTGCGTGCCTTCAAACACACACACACACACACACACTTAGCGCTAAACCATGAAGAATTCACGCGAGATCAATGCGCGTTGACTAAGACCATTCGTTGGCGAAGGTGGTGCTGGTGATTATGGTGAACGCGGTGGCGTCTGAACATAGGGCATAAATAAATATTGGTAAAAAGGAAGTGCTAAGAGAATCGTAAGATTCCGGGTGTGTGTACATGGCATACAGTGGTGCGTAAAAAACTAGGCGCTTTAAAATGGATGAAGGTATATAAGTTCTCTTGTTTGATAGTCGTTGACGATCTGTTGTAAAAGTTGGAGTGCAGAGACTATCGGACGTAGTGTATACATGCTCTCGGTTCCAGTAAGACGGAACTCGATCTCGATGGCTGCACTACTGAGAGTGTTATCTACAGTTTTTACAGCCTTCTGATTAATCGAGCTTATCCACCGAATGCAATCATCGCTACGGGTCCAAAGTGCACGTGGAAATGTACGTTGTGCCAACTTCGGCAAATTTTTTTGTTCTTAACAAGGAATATTTTTCGGAACCTCCTTCTAAATTGAATTATCTTCTCAGTCCGAAAAACTAAATTTAATTAATATTTCAACTCGCTAGATTCGTTTTAACACAAATTTTAAAATGAAGATTTGAATTCGTCTCATCATCTCTGTTATCGTCATTCTTCTCTCATCTGATCCATCTCATCTCATCTCTTCTCGTCTCATCTCATCTCCTTTCGTCTCATCTCTTCTCTTATCTCAATTTAAGTTTTGCTTTTTATATATATTTTTTTTAGGTTTTTGTTACGGATATAACCTTAGCACAAGATTTCTGCACACCCGACTGAGCACTGCTCAATTTTCGGCATACAAGATTTGTGGTAGCATCACCCCTGCCTGCCGCTGACTGACCTTTTATTCCCACATAAGTGGTTGCTGTTTTCAAGCCTTTTCAGCTTCACCTTTGATGTCACGTTGAAAGTCTAGGTTCCTGTCAAGTCGCACTCTCCGGTATTTTAAACTTTCCGCCTAGGTAATGACTTGGTTTGATACATTTACCGTTATGTCATGTTATCTTACGTTATGTTATATTATCTTATCTCATCTTATGTTATCTTATTGTATATTCTCTTCATTTCACTTCTATTTTGCCCTTCTCTTTTTGTCTCCCTCTCTGCATTCATCTCCTTCACACTCTAGCAAGCTATCCACTGTTCGTGCTTTCCTCGTCACTGTAATGCATTATGCTGCAAAATATCAACTTAGCACACAGCCAGCAGTGATGTTCCGTTCCAATGGGATTCTTTACTACTCCTGCTGCTGCTGCATAGCTTATTTTTTGTTAATTCCCCCGCTTTGTTCTGTTTTGTATCACGTTTTGTGGTTTTGTGGTTTTGTGGTCGGAAATAGTTTTTTTCATAGTTAGTAAAGTTTTAATAGTAGACGCATGCGCGCATAGTCACTCTCATGCACCCATACAGACATGCACCCAATATACCAGCTTACATTAATACACGTTGACTTAGTGGGGCTAGTAAATGCTTTTATGCTTGGAGAAAATATATGTATATACATACATACGCATGTACTTATGTATTTATGACTATGACTTATGACTATATATGCATGTATGTAAATATCTTTAGCTTTCTTGCATGGGTTAATGCATTTGCCGCCTATGGCCTCTCGTGCGATCGGACAATCGTGCCCGATTCGTTTGCGTACCCGTATCCATTCGTATTTCCAGCCACGGCTACTCACGTTGGCATGTGCGTATGATCGAGAGAGTACTACTATGCCTTCTGAATTGAACTCTGGTAGTTCTCATTGTTCATTTAAAACTCTTCAACGTCTTCTTCAATTTTATGTATGACTGCATGTATGGATATATGTACGAGTACCTTTATGCTTAAAAGATAATTTCAAATGAATGGCCAACAACGAACGCAACGTAATATTAAAAAATAGGTGCACTCACGCTGGCTGGTGCTATCGTAATGTCCAACACTCCTTGATATTGGCATGATAGCGAAATATTCTTTTATGTCAAGTTAAAGGCACTGCTGCTGATGATGACGAAGACGCAGACGATGGCCATGGCCATGGCGATGACGCTGACGATGGCGATGGCGATGGCGAAGGCCAATGCAAAAAAATTATTCTTCTGGTCAATGTGATCGTTTTCATTCTATTTTTAAACACTTTTATAGTGGTTTTATTGCAAATGTCAATCTCGATCTCGGTCTCTATCTTGTGTAGAGGTGTAGGTGTATGTGTAAAGTAATTATGTATTTCAAATACGCATAACGATGTAGCATTGCAAATTTTAATGTAGTCTATAGCAATTTTCGAAAGAAGAAACCATCGAGGGAATGTGCTATTAAAATTTAGTTGCGGATTTTAATAAAAGAAAATAGTCCTTAACGTAAATTTGATTGTCAAGAGCCATAATAAAATGTAATCTTGGATCTATGTACAGATTTATGTGTGTGTCGATTTAATTTTATTTACACAATGCGAAAAAATAATATTCTTTGTCAACGGAATAACCTGCTCTGTCCAAAATTGGAGGATTGACCTCCTCAAACATGATTTGTCCTCCTCAAAAATATTGTCCTTCTCTGTCCGTCTTTTGAGCGAAAATGTCCACCTTGTCCTCCTTTCCAAGGTTTATAACAGTGATGAAATTTTCAAAAAATTTCGTTTAGAATATTATTATTTCCTAATCGTACACAACCATTGTATTTAAAAGGCTGTGGCGACGCTGCAACAACACAACTTCAACTTCGACTTTCAGTTAAATGATGTAAACTTTTGGTTCAATTAACCGCCTGTGAAAATTGAACAGTATAAACGACTTTTAGCCTTAATCAGTAATATATAATACAGCTTTACCACGGCACTCCAATTACGTAATTCGCTCTCTCATTCATAATTCACACTCAAATTACCCTTCGAATTTACGTAATTCGCCATGAAACATTTTAAGAGCGAATTACCTCATTTGTTGGTAATTCAGATCCAATTAATAATAATAACAGATTGGCGTTTACACATATGTATGTTAGTGTTTGGCCGAGCTTCTCCTCCAATTTCACAATCAGAGAAATGTCCAACCGAATTAAGAATGCGCTAGTGGGAATGGGGTAATTCGCGATCGTAATTGGTGGAGCGAACAAAGTAATTCACGTTGCTGTGGGAAAGCCGTATTACCCTTTACAACACTGAAAGACTAGCTAACCACGCGTCTTCACAGGCGAAAATTATTGACTACCATATGCCATTTTGTTTGACAGATATATGTATAAGTTTTATCGGTGGCAATAGTTGCGTGTTGGGATTTTTTAACTTGATAAAAGCATTTGTAAGATGGCTTAAAACAAGTATTTTGGTTGCATTGGAGCGCAAGTATTCTTAACAAATTTTAGAAAATGTGTTATTTCACATCCAAGTACATAAGAAAAAATAAAACAGGCCCAGCGGCGGATCCAGACTGTTTTTGGGGTAGGTGATTTCCTAGAAATTTTTCCACTTATTCTAATTACTTTAGTTGTTCGCTTTAAAATTATCTATTTACTGAGAAGAAAACTCTGCCATTTGGACAAATTTTTATTTCTACTTGAAAAGGTGTCGGTGGACATTTGAAATTTTCTATGCAGATAACATGTAAAAGAATTTGTTTTAATTAAAAATGTTATAACTTTTGAACCGTTTTAAAAAGTCACAAAAAAGGGATACAAGTTTTTTCTATGCATATTCTTGTAGAGCACTAAATTAAATAAAAACTGAATAAAAATTACCCTGAAGTTTGTTGTCTTCGAGACGATTAAGAGTATTAAGTAAATGTGTCAATGATATTGCTAAACGAGGTATACACTTGATACAAAATTATAATTGAACTTTGATGAAAGACGAAGAACAAAAGCAATTTCCTTTGCACGCAATACAATTACAATTAAATAATTTAAAAATAAATATTCAAAACTTGTTAATATGTGGCGGTCTTATAATTATGCAACGCTGTGTACTATTAACTTGTTTGACTTGTGAGTTGTTAATTTGTTCGTTATTTGCGTGTAAAAAAAAAAGTTTTGTGTGTGTTGTGTTTGTGGAGAATTTGTCCGCCTGGAATGTGAAAAAATTCTGGTCACCTTAGCTATAACCGCCTAAGCGATTTTTTGCCTGAAATTATTGAATCAGACTCTAGTAATAACTGGTGAGGTCACAAAATTGATTTCAAATAGTTTCTGTGATCATTACGGTTTAAAAATTTATTAGTCTGTCCCTTTTAACACTTACACAGTCCCTTTTGAAACATATATGTATATGTTAAAATACGGAAATTAATTTGAATATAACAATGA